AGTCTTATAAACAATTCGAAAGGATCATGGCGCTCTGCAAAGCAACACTTGCATGAAAATAAAGAATATATGTGTCTTTGAGATAATAATGGGTACAATTGTTTGCCAGTCAAAATAGTGAATAGTTTTGCTGACTTTTTATTTTGTGTTTTCTTTCTCCAATGAATAGTTCTTTTGATACCATTGATGTTGAGTGTACAAGTTTTCTGCCTCGCTTACTGTTGGCGCAAAAGAAATCGTAGAAGCAATAAAAGAACTGAAACCTAAATTACCGAGCGGTGTTGACAACATATCTATTTTTAGTATAACAAGGTGGTGTTCTTTACTTGCACCTGTTTTGATGCACAATTTTAACTTGTCACTTTCACAAGGAGGTCTTCGCTAGCTTCGGAAAGTCTCTGTAGTTGTTTCTATATTTAAAAACGGTGAATCGCCATTGGTTAATAATTACCGTTCGGAGTTATTGTAATGCAAATTTGCAAATTCTTTCGAAAATGGAATGCAGAAGCGTGTTTACTTTTACCTTAGCCCAATGACATACGCACCTGAACACTGTTTGCTTAAAATCAAAGTCAGTTGAGTCAAATTTACGCTCGTTTTTTATTTACTCAGCACCAGGGGTGTTAAGTGGAGGTTCAACAGATGCAATGTATTTCCTGGCGCGTGGTGTCGTACTTACCTGCTCGGTCGTCAGAAGTCCGTTCGCATTTCTGAAAGCTACTCCGAGGAGTTCATTTCAAGTTTTGCTGTACCCCAAGGATTCATCCTGGAACCACCTTTGTTTATTTTGTCTATAAATGATCTTGCTTTTTGTATCACGCACCCGATATTATTTTGTCTGCTGATGTTGTTAAGTCTTTCATAAGTGTGATGACTCTATCTGGTTGTTCCGGCCCCGTCTCCAGGCTGACATAAGACGTGTTTTTGAGGAGTGTGCCAATAACCACTTGTCATTTAACCCTAAAAAAAATAAAACGAATTGTGTTATCCGCGGAGCGCGATGTATATACTCTAAATATTTTATGTAATCTGGAAGAGGCCCCGATATGTAAAGTTATTTTTAACAAGGATCTTGGTGTATCCACTGATGGTTCACTTCAAATAACTACGTTTTATAACCATGAATGCAGCACTGAGATTGCTGGGAATGATTTAACAATGGACCTTTTCCACATACCGACGGCACCAGGCGGTGGCTGCACGAACTAAAAATCGCGGAAGTGACCTACCTGCGCTACCAATCGATAATGGGAGCTACGCTACCAGTTTCTTCGCTCTCTGAGCAGCGGCGCCTGCCCAACGCGACTTGAAAGAGGGGCATCCGTGGCGTTCACCCAAACGTCGTGTTTTCCTTTCCGTCGACGTTCGTTTTTTGTGTAACACAATTATATATATGCTGCAGTTACGTGTTCTACTCGCTGATATACAGCCTCCTTCCGAATTTCCTCGATTTTTCGTTCCGACTTCCGCCGCTTGGCATCGGGCGCTCGCGCGTGCGCAGAACGCTTCTCGGAAAAGGTCCATTGTGTCGCCAGTTTTTTACACCCAGCTCATAGCACTTGTTTAAGACATTGGTGAGGCCACGATCAAAATTTGGATGAATCGTTTGAATTTGTTTTACTTTATCACGTACCGGATCTTATAATCAAAAATATGCAAAAACGAATCGTTGCAATTACGTATGACAGCTATATTGAAGAATGTATTTTTCCCATTATGAAACGTTACTTGTTCGATTTGCGTGGTAGAAGCTTGTCGTGGGGGGGGGGGGGGGGGGGAGGCAATATAAATTTTTTATATTTCTTGGCAAATTTTTACACGGGGAGTGAATTCAATTTATTTGTTGAGTTTCTCAGACTTTCATGTTCCGCCAAGGGTCGACAGCATAATGCAGTTTTTTTCACTTATCTTTTGTGCCTTCTGTGTCTTCCTTACCAATAACTTAATTAACAGTTGATCGAACCCATTACATTTTTTTTTGTTTTCACCAGTTTATGTTTTATGTGAGAATGTAAATATCTTGTATAGCCTATTCAGTTTCTCTTATTTATAGTTTATATTTTTTGTGACATGTATTTGAATGTTCGATACCGAGCTGTGTTTTAGTGCGCTTTGTATTCACGATATTCTAAACTAAAATTGTTTGTGGGCATGCAAAAAGGAAGCTTTATTTATAGACAAAGGCCAACTCAAAAAGCACTACCCAAAGCCCACGTTAGGAGCTATGGCGCCGAGCGTCAATGGAGTAAGACACTTTCTGACATCCCACATGGTCACTTGAGTTTCGGAAATTCAGTTCTTGCATTGCCTTTTAGCATATTGACGGCTTCGACAATATTTCAACATGTAGTACATCAAGTGCTGGATGAACTAGAAGACGCGTTCTTCGTATGAATGGCATTCTAGTTTTAGAGAAAAAAAAGAACAATACACGCACAGTTAAAATTTGGGAAGAATACCGGAGTGTTAAAAATAACAAAACATGAAACTCTGCGAGAAAATGTACGAGTTTCTGTTAGAGCGCACCCAACACCTATGCGAGCGCATTAGCGAACGAATAAGAATGGGTCCCAAGATACTTCTAATTAAACTTAGATGTACCTGAATCTAAAAAAAACAAAATATCGATCTGCAAGTCTTCTTTGGAATGGTTAATTTCAAGGCGTGATTTACCCAAACGTGTCAAAAGTTACAACTTTGCTGCAAGTGCTTAGAAAAAATGTCTAATTTTTTTTTAACTACACGTGAAATTCTTTTTTAAAAAAATTAAAAAAAGAGACAGCTCTAGAATAACATACTTGTCGCTTTCTTTGCAGCGCCTGTCAGACAGGTATAGGTGCAGTGATTTACAAAACAGAGAGCGTCTATAGGCGGATGCAACCTGAGAACAATCTTTTAGCTCCACCCTCAAGCGCATTGCGCCCATCTGAAGTGCCTCCGCCGTCGAGAAAGTAGTTCGCTAGCATCGTTGCTTTTTCTTCCTCCAGGAAACGTGTCTTAAACTACTACAATATTTATTTAATTCATTCAGGACATTTAAATAAGTTAGAATACGTTTTTGTCAACGAAATAGCTGTATAGTAAAGAAAGAAAGTCATGTCCAATATACCGTCTTCCCAATTCATTTTCTGTCCAAGATACTGTCTAACATACCGTCTAACATACCTCTCAGCAGTGCTAAGCCTCGCTCCCGCTTTGAAATTTTCGTTGGCGATAGCGTCGCTGGATTCTCACGTTGTCGCGCAAAAACTGCTGCAAACGCAAGCCGATACTATTAAGATTTCGTAGCGTAACCTCGGGCACGTAAAACACGGTGCAAAAAAGCAGAATAATTGTCACTAGAAACTAGCGTCGCGTTGCTAAGGCCAGCAGCCATGTTGAGCTTTTTTTTTTTTCAAAAGAATCGCGATTGGTTTACGGAATCGTGACGTCATGAAAACGATTGGCTGGCGTTTCTCGGCGTAGGATTACATTTTCCTCTGAGAGGCATTTGCGGTTTTTTCTTAGCTTGCAACCGACTATAGCGTATTTGCGAAGTTCCCCCACAGAAACCTAGCAGCTACAAGATCCGTGTAGATTAAAAACAAAAACTTACAATCGACGGTTGCTGTAAAACATATTGAGATTGCACATTTGAGAGCAAAATATTCTTGCTCAGTCGATTTGCAGACCTCTAGAGTTGATCTTCAATAACACTTTGTATGTTTCCTCAACAAATTAGCTTAAACCTGCAGAAATGAGAGATTACGTCGATAAGCAACAGAAAAACATTTTGCTTTATTGCCAACGCATTGTCGCTGTTTCCGACCACAGTCCAACTATAAAAGAGTCTTAACATTGACACGGGTACGTTATTGATTATTTTTGTTTTCTGCATAAGCGTGAAGTGAACATTGAGCTGGAAAAAGACAAGAATGCGACAATGGTGCAGCTCCGGAGCATATAAGCTAAAAAAGGGGAACGGCCGGAGCAGGGGTGATCCCTCGTGAGGCACTTCGAGCTTTGCCCCGTTCTGGAAGCAAAACAACTAGAATCAACCCATTGTGTACCCGAAGGCCTGGATTCAAGAAGGTTATTGGTATTTCCGGGATTTTAAAGCGTCAATTTGACGGGTGGCGTATTGTAATCGCCATCTTCCAGGCGTTGGTGCGGAGTACTATCTGGTAGTAAAAGTAATTACGAAAATTTTAGTTTCACAAGTACTAGCAATTGCAGGGTTAAGACGAATCTTCCACACCCATTCGAAACCTGACATTTGAAGGCGCAGTTGATATCAACCGTGCGGCAGGAGTTGCGCTTTCAGTCCTCGAACGCCAATAACACACCTTCCTCTTATCCATCGATAACGAAAGTGTTGGGTTTGCAATGCGTGTTTGTGCTGCAAAATTGTTACAGAGATAAGCGGCCGGCGGGAATAAAGGGACGCCCGTTCACAGTATGAAGCTGAATGATTTGATAATGGCAATATCGTGCGCGTTTGCCTAGAGCGCGATGATGTTGCGGACCACTGCCGCAGCGTCGTCATCACTATTGTCACACTACCCCCTCCCCCTCCTACCCGCCCCCCTTTCTCCACCCATAAACACACACCTTGAAATAGCAGGACCCAGCTGATGAATAAAGAAAGCACGAGGTGAAGTGGTGAAACAGACACGCAGAAACATGAAACAAAAATGGACGGTCTGCTACCGGCCTCGAAATAAGAGGTCCCGTTGCTGTTCGATAACTGGCATGTGCTCTTCGCAGAGTTACTGATCTCAGGAACAGCCACAGCTTCACCCTTGCACGCTACAGGCTGTGGAACTTAACGAATATCGTCAGAATATTGGGCTGGGGACACTGCTGGGGATCCTTGATTCTCGCCAGTGTCTGACGTCACAATCGTCTCTTAACCTTAAACAAGAACGAATTTTGTTGAAGACCTTTGTAAATGATCTGAATGCGAAGTCGTCTCGTAATTTTCTGCTCACGACATCGATGAATTCCCTTTTTTTTACCAGGTTGTTGTGCCTGACGGAAATACAAAAGTTGGCGACAAAGGTGCTGAACACTACTGGCCAGTCTACCGGCATGTCACAGTTCCTGATAGAAGCGGCACAGCAACTGGGTCTTGACCTGAAGGCTCACGTAGCTGCAATTCCAGATGCCCTGGACGCCGTCCTCGTCCAGAAAGAGAATGGTTTACAGGTGCCAGCGTGGTTTGAGAACAGGATCAGCACCCTTTCTTACATATCTCGAGGACTCTACGTGCTTATGGCTCAAGCTTTCATCAAAAACATGGGAGGACAATTCCTAAGGTTGGAACGCTTAATATTGTACACACTTTTTTTTTGTCTCCCTTATGCAGTGTATGTAATGCACGCAAAGACCCAAAAAGCACCAAAAAGGCTTGCACTTTATTAATATTGATGAAGAACTACAGGGACTTTCCTGACCCCCTTATAGAAAATAATGCGTACTCATTTTTTCGTGGAAGACATAGGCCGGGAATACCTGCGAATTATTGATGTCTCCCAGCGAACGACGAGCCTTGGAATACCATTCGGCCTAAAAATGTGATGAGCGTAATGGTATTGAGGTCGTGAATAAGAGAGAGAGAGAGAGTTGAAATTTTATTAGGCCCAAAAAATAGGTCCTTCTAATTGTCTTTGTCTACATCACGTTCTCAGATCTAATTGTATTTAATGTTCGCCACACGCTTTCAAATATCCTTTGTTTGCAGTGCTGGTTTCTTGGTGTGAAGTTAACACGATGTTTTATTAGATAGTTAAGTTTCTAAAAATGTAAAGCCTTCATGTTACGCACACAAAAACAGTTCTTATTATGAAAACCCTTAAAGTTTATTAAATTTAGGGAGCACGATTATGCGGAAACTATAAGTAACCCTGAACTTGAAATTGTGAACGGATTGATTTTTTTTATAAGTTATTTTTTCATGTCTTTCGGACAAATAGAACTAGATTTACAAAATGCATGCTAACACACTTTAATTTACAATACACGCGTGGCTATAGGTAGTGAACTTTCTTGTGAAAATATCGAACAAAACACTCCTCATGTCAAAGTTTAAGAAAAGACAAAAATACGTGTTTTTTTTTTAGTTTTCGTTTAAAGTTTAATTTTTGTCTCATTGCGTTGATTCACATGAGCAACAATAAGCCCAAAAATTTGAATAAACTAGCTTTAACAGAGAGACTGGTTGGGGTTACATCTATTACAATATTCCAATTGTGTGAAAATTTCGCTTTCGGCGGCTTTAACATCACAAGAGAGAGTGTGAATGTTACTAAACTTTCTTTATTTAACTTGTCAAAGATTATCAAACTAATCAGCAAAAAAGTTAATTTAGTGAAAACACAAAACGTGTAACATGAACGTAGAACTTGAAGGTGAACATTTGACAGATATTTGTCTGGTTGGGACAGGGCTAATTAAAAGGGGGGACGTCCAACATAGCTCATTTAGAGACCCAACGTCTTGAGGCACACTCGGATTCTTCTTGACAGATGACTGGCGATGGCTGCTGAAGTGCAGTATTTTGAGTTTTTTATTCTTCTTCTAGAATTGTGAATTTCTTTATATGTTGTTGATAAAGCAGAAGCCGTCGAGTAGAATCGATGGCCGGCTTGGCTAGCGAACACCACATTGGAGCATATGGAGTGAAAGCTCGCGTTGGGGGGGGGGGGGCGTTTCAATCTCGACCACTGACCTATTTGATGTTGATGAGCATTGTACCAGCGTGCGGTCGTGTATCACTGGTGCATGATGCACGTTAAAGACCCCAGAGTAGCAGTCGTACTGCACTGGATAAATTACTCATCAACTGCAAGTTACAATGTTGCCAGGCTGTGGCACACTAAACTCCCGCTGCATAAACGACTAACAACTAATATGCTTTGTTATCGAAGCCCGTTGACGTAGGTTGGTGGTAAACTAACAGTAAAGTTCTGTTTTCTAGTTTGGATGTCCCATGAAATGAAAAGTTGCGGTGGCTTAGCTCGGCCATGCCAGGATATACGTAGCGTGAGCTTATGCGCACAAAATGAGAGGCGCTATCAAGCGGCTCCGGTGCAGCGTCCGACTTGGCTACTGGGCAACGGAGGCGCACAGCGGGGCACGCGACGGCGCCAGTGCGTCCGCCGCGGCTATGACGTCACTCCTCTGGAACGCGCAGACTGGCGAGGCGGGCGCGGCGGCGGCGGAGCTCGCGGCGGCGGCGTCTCCGACGCGCCAGCTGTGCACCTTGTGATGTCACTGCTCCTCGCGCATGCGCAGCATGGAGCACGGCTCATTATGCGAGCCACGCGAAACTGCTAAACCTCGGCCAGTGTAGCTCACGCCACAAAATCATGCACATGCAAACTATCACAGAAACATAAATATGCCCCTGGGTGCTTTACCATCCGCCTATGTCAACGGGCTTTGCGATGCATGGCTTGCACGTGATGTCATCTAAAGGGCACTCCGATGTCCACCAGGGAAGAGGAGAAGAAGGAGCTCCCTTCTTGCCAAAGCCCTCTTTTGCATTTCCCATATTTTCCCCGACGTCGCTATTTTCCCCCCAGGTGATTATAAAAGATTAACCTGTCACTTAAACTCCCCGAAAAAGCAGCATCTCTCTCTCACTCGTTTTCTTTCATGGTGGCCAAAAGTACGCGTTGTGACGTCAGTGCAAACCATGCATTGGGAAGTAGATCCAACCGTCGCTCCCCTAGTGGCTAATTATAGAACTACATCGGTAGGGGCGACCAGTGAAACTATGGACAACAACAACATTGATGACCTGTTTCTGTTTCGATGTAGCGCTCGGGCTACGTAGCCGAAAGTTTTGTCAGTGTTCAGCTGGGGCTCAAGTTCAATCATTGAAGCCAAATGCGCACGCAAGTGTCATGGGTAAGTTTCTTCATATTTATCCACTGCGCACACGGGAAAAATGGGCACAAGCCATCCCCAACCTTTGCTCCGTGTGCGGTCAAGAATGACGAAATAAAGAAACCTGTGCACACGCTCTGTGTTGGTAAATACACAACTTCGGGGAAAACGAGCTGGCCATAGGGATTCCTATAGTTCGTTCTCGTCAATATCAATAGACCATAATGAAATTTACCATCATAGAATAAGACGAAAACAAAAACCAAACTACTGCTCCTCAACGGCCATCGTTACAGCAACGTCACAAGTTTGGGAACTCGAGCGGCATTCATCGGACGAGCGCGGGCCGCTGCGGTAGCTGACGAAATAATGGCGCTGCTGCCGCCGTGAGATTAAAGCACCTCTAACCTGGGAAACGTGGCACCATTATTGTTGTGAAAATGCTCGAGGCACGTGCCGCGCGCTACATCTGGGAAGAACATGGCGTCTGAAATCCAGCTCAGTGCTGGGCTGTGCCGCAATGATCTTCCCAAGAGCTGCACGTTAACGTGCATCTTGCATCGAAGCACCTTGCGCTATTTTTAAAACATGAAGGGGCTTTACATGAGATCGGTTGCCTCCGCGCAGCTTCGAGCGCTCCACCAGATCCGCTGCGAATCCTGCGCTAGCTTTGATGAGGACGTGCGATTGAGGACTATTGATGACGTGCAAGTAATGACGATTAACGTTGTCGAGCTATAAACTGAAATCACACACACACTTTTTTATGTGAGCGTGAACATTTTCCCAGGGACCGCGTTCTGCTATACATTCAGGTGTACAGCATCCTTCGGCGCGGTAAAGATCTGGCGCTCCTCGTAACTTTTTGACGCTTGTGAGGCGTACCCGCTGCGATTGTCGGGAGCGCAGCAGGTCAGCATACTTTTTCATTGATTAAAGCGCGACCCGATTTCCCGGCACCAGAAAATAAGGCTTACGAGCCTACGACGAGCCACCGATGAGACGAGCGAAAACACGAGGAAGGACGACGACAAGGAGACACCACCAAGAGTCGATCCGAGGACAACCACAGCGCCACCTCTCGCGCGCTCAACGAAATGGCGCCAAACCGGGAGGCGTTTCCAGACAGATCCCATCTAGTAACGTTGGTTATAGTCACCCCGGAAGAGGAAGCTTAGTGGGCCTTGAAACGTCAGGGCAATAGTTTGGGCTTGGTTGGACGTCCCCGTTGCCGCTTTAAATAAAGATAAAACTGTAATATTAATGAGAAACAGGCGTCGTGGTGACTGTTTGTTCCATGAGATGGACATATAAAAGCGGGTTGGGGGGGGGGGGGGCACTTAATATTTCCTGATATGACAGTTTTGTTCAGTTATAGTTTTTAAATGGGGATATGATTATTTCAACCGCACAGGGAATTCGAAGTCATGCTTGCACATAATACTATTTTGAAATATCAGGTTCCCTCCTGAGAAATAAATGCCGCACACTACGCGACGACCGGCTTGGGAACTATATAATGGTAGCTAGAAGGAGAGGTCAGAATCGACGCGAGAGGGAAGGGCCAGCTGGATGCAGCGGTGGCGCTGCTATTGACAATAAGATGAGTCGTCCGCTTGCGTTTGCTTTCTGGATGCTTACTCGGATGCTTTCTGCTCCGTTTTTTTTTTGTTTTCTTTTTTGTATTCGTGTGCATTATGTAAATCCCCATCACAATCTTAGACCCTTCACAAGGAATCATGACGTACATCACCAATCGCAGGTTCTTAGCAGCCTGATTGCTGTGAATATTTACAATCGCCATCACTGATCCCATTTCATATGCAGTCCAGTGGATGTTTGTGTTGTTGGTTTAAAACAAAAGTAACTTCTGAAAGCAGAGAGTCTCGCCATTTGGCGCACACACTCAAAACGCAATGACGTCTGGGACTTTCTGGATTACGTACTTTGCCCAGTGCTTGCTTGTGAGATATCCTCTCATACCTTCCAAGTTTTTGTGGCAGAGGCACTGCCTCACTGGCGGGGATTGAAGCGGTGTGCTCGTCTTCATGAATGAGGTCTTGAAGGCGGGATTGCATCGGCAGTCAGGCAAGGGCGACTCCGGGGAATCTCCAATTTCACCGTTGATTACGTGAGTGCAGGTGCGATCAATGTATCTTTCACCGAAATGTTCTGCATAGACTACGGAGTTCTTTTAGAGTTCTTGTCAGCTCTTGGGATTGAGTGCTGCCAGACCTGACGGCACTCGGTGTAGCCGGAAACGGCGTAAAGGAAAGCTTTTTTCTCTTTCTCGCAGAAAAGTACCCCATGGTAGATCCGGGAGCAAAGCGGAGTGTTTAGCGTTATGCCATCGCGATAGTCTGGACGCTTGAGGCAATCTTTCCGGAAAGAGCACCACAAACGAGTACTTCTAGCGACGCGAGTGAGGCTTTCCCGGAGCGGCGTCAGCAGATGACATCCCAGAGTCAATCAGTGCTCAACCTTTTGTCGTCATGACGCACTAGCGCGTTGGCGCACACAGAGCAAACGGCGCGATGCTGTCACATTCCCCGTCTAGTCACCAGAACAATGCCAGCACAATAGACTACTTCCAAAAATCTCTGAATGCAACACTGCGCACAAGGATTTATGTGGTGCATCTCAGCACTGCATGAAAATAAAGTCGCCACTCAGTTGCATTGCACCCATTCATCTTCATGAGGGCTCCCGTTGGAACACGGACCTCCGCGGCCGTAAGAACCAGACTAGACTTAGCGTGGCGTTTGTGTAAGGATTGCCGCGTCCTATACATTTCTGGTGTCTTGGCTACTCGCGAGTTTTGACTGCAGAGTTGTTTTTCAATGAACCATCTCTTCAGAAGGATGGGCAGGGGAAAAGCGCGATCTTCAAGATAATAGTTTAATGCTCTGAATGGGGCTTCAGAATTATCTATCCTGCTGAAAGGGAACTAAGGAGTGAAGGATACTTTCAGTTCCTGGTTTAGTAGGAATCCCTGCGTTACCTTAAAGCTCTTTTAGTTACGTTCAGAAGATGCCCCACTGAAACAATATAATGATTTGTCACGGGCTTACTTTTTTAGCCAGTTGTCTAAAAATGTGTTTCTCTTAAAATTACACTAAAACTTGGGCCGACTTTCACAACACAGCGGAGTTAAATCTCATCATTCCTTTTTTTTTTTCCTCAGATCAGTACAACATTTGGAAACTGTTTTGAGCAGTTGACGCGACATAGTGAGCGACGTACCGATGTCATTAGGCACTGCCTGCTGCCGGTTGTGGAAGACACAATAGGATTACAAAACGGCTTACCATTTCAAGGTTTTTAATAACAACGTTCACTTGGAGTAATAATAATAAGCATAGTCTAACGTTTGCAGTTAAGGCATATAGTTGATTGTAGCGATATAGGAACATTCAATATGTATTAGACACTTCCAAAACTGTTCATCTTTTCTGGAATAAGGTGTCGATCTAATATTGTTTTTCAATAAAATTATGTTTTGCGACCGGTATAGGAGCTTTGCCTTTGGTTGTTATAACAATGTCTTGCGTTTTCTATTTCTCTAGGGATATTGCCTCGTTTCTTGAGGAAAAGTACATCCATTCATCCGAAAACCTCAAGAAAGATCATCTCACTCCAGGCCAAGACAAGTCAAGGTGGAACGCCAAACTCCACTTACTTTCGTACCACGACCTGAACATCATCGCTGCGCTGATGGCTCTCGACTCTACGTTTTCTGAAAAGCCATATTATGGCTCATTAGTGACGTTCGAGGTGCGGAAAGTCGCAGAAGAAGCTGATATCACAGTTTATTATAGAAATGGTACCCAGGAAATCAAGATGTTTAATCTGCCAGGTTGTTCTTATCCTTGCAAGGTGAAAGATTTTATTACCCTTGTGAGACAAAGGTTTCCAATTGATTTTACACCGGAGGTGTGCGGATATCCAAAAGGATATGTGGTACTGTAGCACTGTTTTTGGCAGTGCATCGTAAATATACATTCGGAGGCGAGGCTTATAGATAATAAACTTTGTTCTCAACCTTAAATTTCTTCTGTGTGTTCCAGCAGTGCACATAATACGCAGAAGTTTCTTGAGTTGAACTAAACAAAATAGTTTTGCAGCCGCACTTTGTTTAAATCCGTGGCCACTTCTAGTTAGATTCTCACGGCATGGACACCATTAAAAGTGGAGGGACAATCACTAATGGGTGCCTGTGTTGGTGGTAAACCCGCGCAAATGAAAGGCCATAATACCTGACCCTCTTCAAAGACTCATCAGTGTTCTAAAGATGCGCTAGCTGGATGAGTGACTAAATATAGTTTGGAGTTGAGATCTTTGACCTGAAGCCCTTCTATAAGTTTGCTTAGAAACTTCCGGGGTCGACTCATACAGCGTGGTCTCTTTTATGTCCGACGAAACTAAATGATGACTGTTAAGGCCTCTACCTAGAAGTTTTCCGAAGAGTGTCTGGCTTTTTCTGCCGTTTCGATATTTTGCCTAAAGCCGAGAGGAGACTGAATAATATAGCCCGATATTTATGAATATTATTATTTTAAAATACTACGATTCCCCCACGGTGCTGTGATAGGAAGGTAATTTTTATACGGTGGGTAAAAACAAAACACTAGGCACACTGTAGAAAAAAAAAAGAATTTTGAAACAGGAGCAAGCAAAAACTTAACTAGATTAAGGCCGTCGATTCGCAACTGGGTCCAAATCGCGTACACTGTAAAGTGCTTTGAAGCCACGCTCCAAAAAGGAAACATACATAGCTGCTATAGATTATTCCAATTAGCGCTCTCTGGAAGGCAACCTTTTGTTCGACAGCAGCGCCCTCTCCATACATCCGGGATATTCAGCGGGTTCGGCGGGGTAAAACGAGAAAGAGGGCACGCGCCCGACTTCGGTAGCAGACGACAAACCGGGAGGTTGCCATTCTCCATCTTTGGGCTGTACCGGCGGTCTGTACGAAACAGCGAACTCTCGCTCGTGGCTGCCGTCGTGAAGTGGTTCGCGTTCTCAGAATAGCTAACCCTACTGAAAAAAAAAACATTTGAAATTCAAACGGGTGGCAAACTGGTCGACCCGTTTGAATTAAACGGGTGGCAAACTTGTCGACCTGTTTGGATCAAACAAGATTATGGGATACGGGTACCCGTTTGATACGGGTGCTCGTTCGATACGGGTGCCCGTTCGACCAGACGCGTGACCACACATTTCAACGCGTCATTCGGATGAGCAAATTATCTGGCAGCCTTAAATGGGTATCGTCTGGAAGGTTGGTTATCTTAAATTTATTTAAGAGATCCCGAAACTTATCAGCCTATTTATAACAGGGAGGAAACACGTAGAAAAAATGTGCTCGCGCAGGTGCTTGCAAATGGACACGAAAACAGACACAAAAAATTGTTTTCGATTCTGATGAAAGTTTATTCCGTAGACAAGTACAAACGTGCAAGCGATCTGTGAAATGTGAAGAGGCACTCTAAGCTTTTATACAACTGTGAAGATTGCAAAGCAAACAAGAACCGAAGTAATTCTAGACAATATGGCAGATTCTCGGAAAAAAATATTCTCACGGCTGCCGTGAGAACAGACGCTGCATAATTTTATGGATAATCTTGACGTGCACCCGTAGAAGAGCCGTCATTCGTAGCCAACATGTAGGTAGGAATGCACTTATCATAATCACAGCGGCCTTGAAAGATGTAATCCAAGATAAATGTCGACACAGACATAGCAGGACAACCCACTCACAATCACACAAACACTAAAACGTGAAGGAAGGCTCCTTGAAGTTTCCACACGATGCGGCGCACAGTCTGCCATGGCCGAACCCAGCCAAACCGGAAGAATTCTTGACTTCTTTAAAAAATCGCTCGTTGCCGATATACGCGTAGGACTTTTCGAACATTTGGTGCGGATTCCATACGTTGCCGAGAGACATCCTAATAAGACCGCAGAAAAAGGCGGCAGATCGACGCAGGCAGGACAAACGAAGCTGCCACGGACAACAAGCAGACAAAGAAAAAGCGTCTGGCAACCCGCGCGTAGCCGGATCTCTCTACGCATATCAGCATGGAGCGTGCCCTCCTCTCTCTGACCAGAGAGGAGGAAGGGGGCGACGGCGAGGTCAAGACGCAGGACACAGGGACACCCCCCCTCCCCCCCAACCCTCTCCTCATTCACTCTGTAAAACAAAATAAATAAAAAAACAACAAAAAAAAAAAAAAACTTGCGGTGTGCTTTTTGTGGCAATGCAGTCAATGCTAAGGGAGAGGTTGCACAGACCGCTGTACACGCGCTTTTCTCATCTCTTGGAATAGCCACTGCACATCGCGTTTGCAGCCCAGGCGAAACGCGCGCGTTTCAGCCCTCTGGAACGCTGGAAATGGCGTCGGCCAGAAGCTCGGCTAGCACCCGAGCCCAGAAAGCCCCCAGCGCGAGCTCGTAATTTGACTCTACAGTCTAGAAATATATTATTTCACGCGGCCGCGTCCTCTGCGCGAGAGATTCGAGCTGAATAAGTAAATTGAGGCAACAAAGACCGCCAAATGTTTAAAGTTCTGTCAAAAATATCGGCTCGCTATCGTCGCACGTTTACATATAACAAAATTGCTTATTGCAGTTTCAGTATAAGCGAACATCAGCGCAATCAAAATATAAATAACATTAATTGCATTACGCGGAAGATTGGAAACCAATAAACCGGCGCTCCCGCGGCTTTCCGGAAACAGGCTGCCACGGCTGAAATAGGCGCGCCCATGCCGCCGATCGGTACGTTCAGTGTCAAACGGGCTCCGGAGAGCCGTTTGAATAAACCGGTAGTTTCCCGGCTACCGGTCACCCGGGTGTGCAACATGGTTGCCGGTTTGAGCAAACGTGCGTAAACTTTGCTCAAGCGAGTGGCCCATTTGCCCAGACGAGTGACTCGTTTGCTAAAGAAGTGACCTGTTTGCACAAATAGGTGACCGTTATGGCTCATACGGGGGACCCCTTTGACCCATACGGGCGACCCCTTTGACAAACTGGTGACCGGTATGGCTAAACTGTTACCGGTATGAACCCGGTTACTTTTATATAGGCGCCAATTTTTTTTTTCAATAGGGAAGTCTACTTCAATATCAGCCTATAGCTCTTTGTTGTTCTATTTCGGTAAATGGCCAACTAGCATATCTTTTTTCCGTTACTTAAATAATAGTTGAATCAGCCTGCAGTACTACCCTCAACTACTGCGTCTATTGCGGCAAGAGAGCACGTTTTTATTCATTATTTCAGACTTCCACTCATGGTCCCTAAGGCCTACACCAATACGAACTTTGTATAGTAAAAAGGTACAGCAACCAGATTTATTTTTGCCCGGATGAGACCGGCCTATCTGACAAAGTTTTCCTTTTTTTTATTTATTTGCACGCAGGTGACAGCGCAGTTGGACTTTGTTAGTCGTTTTTTCTAGCATAGTATTACACGATAACAGGCGTACTCAAGCCTGCGCATCTGCGCTTGAAATTTCCAAAATAAGACGATATTAAACAGAGTTTGCACGCCAGTCGGCTGGTAGGTGCAGCCCACTTGGCGGAGCGGACGACATGCGGGGTGAGAGGGAGAGGGCATTTGTTTCTCAATTACCCTCTTTGCTATGACCCTAATGGAACGGTCTATGGAAACACTATTTCAAACGTTATTAGAGGCGTCTTTATTAGATACAAGGAAAGATCAAATGATTCAAGTGATTGGCACGACATTGCTTGTTCTGGCAGCGAGTTTCAGTCGCTAACTGTCGCGTGGAAAAGGGATCGAGTATTTAAAACAGTTTTTTAACCATCAGGGTTGGTGAAGGGCACGATTATGTTTGTTACGGGTAATTCTAGATAAAGCAGAAATTTGGTAGGCTGTCTTATCTATCTGCAGATAAACGCTGAGAACCATATAGAAAAATTTCAGTCTTTTTTTTTACGTCGACTCTTGAGCAGCGGGAGTTCAGTTTGAGCGTACAAAGCCGTCAGGGAATCCAATCAACGATATTAAAAAAGAGAAGCGTAATGTGGAGCCTTTGCACTCCTTTTAGCTTAAGCACATCTCAAACAGCTTGCGATTCCGAAATTTCGCATGAATATTTCATCAGTGGTCGGATAACTGTTGTTATGCCAATAGTTTTGTGCTGACTAACCTTGCCTTCAGGTACCGTCTTAAGTACTATAAGCTAGAATGTGTCTTTTTTTACAATATTATTGACGTGAATTCCACCGCGTAGATTATGCGAAATGGTTACCCGCCGATATTTGTAGTGATTAATCCTTGCGATCGGGTTACTTTCGAGCTCGTACACAAATTCAGAGGGCTTTTTGTTTTGTGAGTAATAGTCATACAGACGGTTTTTCAAGATTTAACGACAATTGCCATATATTGCACCATTGGCAGATGCGCGCAATACACGTATTTAGGTTACGTTGATCCATGGGCGTTTTAACTACGGCATACAAAACGAATTCGTCGGCGAACAATCTAGCCTGAAAGGTGTACGGTTAGGTCTGAAAGTGTCATTGATGAATACGAGGAAAACGAGCGGCCCGAGGACGGTGCCTCGGGGCACATCCAATTTGACATCGGTCATATCGGAATGTTTGCTTTTTTTTTTCACGAATTGTCTTTGTTCAGATAGGAACACCGGTATTGATATGACTAGCCCGGGATTTTTACATATAGATGTTAGTTTGATCTATAATTTCTTATGGCTAACGTTGTCGAACGCTTTTTGAGGTAAAAAATATGACGTCAATTTGTCCCTTACGGTTCAGAAACTCAAAAAAATCATGCACGACTTCAACAAGCTGAGTGATGGTGGACAGACCGTTACGAAAGCCGTGCTGGGAGCTGTTGAACAATTCATGCTTTTCCAAAGAAGAATGAACATGACTAGAGATTATATGCCCAAGAAAGTTCCCAGCCGTCGATGCTAATGAGTT